CACTCAAACATAAATACTTAGTACATTGTGCAAATAGTAAAAGTGTATACAAAAAATGAGATAATTGGAAGTAAACAAACAACGGTCCAATCGTTACTCATAAAGAATTAATAGTTATTACGCATCTAGCTAGAATCTAGAATAAAACCAGTTATGTGTAATATGGATTCAAACATTTAAGGTTCCGTAATTATGATGTTGCGTGAATACCATAAGATTGGAATTTCACTTTCAACTAAATTTAGATTTTTTTGTAAGTACATATAAAACAGTTTCCTGCATCGGTGAATGCTCGAGTCCCATTCATCAATTCGTTTCACTCAAAATTCAGTTTCACTGAATGTCAGCTTTTTTCATGTACTAGTTTTCGTCAGAATGAAAATCGTTTGTTTCGATTTCGCAAAATTTAAAGATAAAAAGTTCACATAAATTGGTCAGGGTCGACAGCAAGTAGTCCATGATAAAGTCATGTTTTGTTATGTGCAGGTCTTGTGTTGAGCAAAAGTATTTATATTAGTAGGACCAAGATCGAACGAATAAGACCAAGACTAAAATTAAGACCGAATATGTAACATCAAGACCAAATACGCACGACTAAACGAAAAATCATTACTTTCGGTGGATTTATGAGGTAAACTCTTTGAAGCAACTTTAATATATTCTTTTCCTGAAACAAAATATTTTTAATATTTAAAATTTTCAGTTTTCATTACTAGATTTTAACACTAAACATATAAAAAAGAACTTTACCACTGTTTTAAAAAGGGGATCTACAGGAATGTTCTCGAAGTAAGTCTCCTTTGTTCTTATGTTTGGATAACACATGCTTGAAATAATGAGACAAACTAATCTTGTTCGACATTTTTTACTTTCAAGTACCTTGTAGGTACTATTTTCTTCGCTAAAAGGTTGGAGAAAGGGTTAATCTATGCATCATGAAGGGTAAGTACTCATTAGTTATTATTGTGTCGGTAAATAGAAAAATTTGTGCTTAGAAGAACTATTAAAGGATTGTGTCAGATTAAATGAACGACATTCTGAACAGGTAGAAACGATCGAGAAATTACTGCACCTGACCAATCACGACTATGAGCGTTCCATTGTAAGATAACAAGACTTCTTGTTCCAATACTCCAAAGATGTGCGCCACCCTTACCAAGAATCTCTTACAATGTCAATTACAGTTTAGCAATTAATGCATCCATTTTGCATGCTCATCTCTACAGTTTTGTGATTGTAATTCTGTTGATGACTTATTTCACTATTTATTTGTCAGATTATATAAGTATTTACAGGAATGTACAAGAAGATTAGATGAGGAAGTGGCTAATTTTAGATACATAGGAAGTCAAATAAGTCAGGACGGAAGGAGTAGTAGGGAAATAAAGCAGAGGATAGCGCAGGGTCGAGTCGCTTTCAATAAAAAGGTCACGGTGGGCGCAGCGGAAAAGAAAAGGTTAGACGCGTTCGATATGTGGTGCCAATGATGAGGATACCGTGAAGAGAGAAGGTAAGAAATAAAGAGGTATTGCAAAGAATAGCTGAACAGAGGACTCTATGGATGTGAACAAGAAAAACGAGATAGGTTGGTAGAACACCTTTTCAGAGATGAAGGGCTAGTCAGAGACATACTAGAGGCAGAAACAGGAGTTAAGAGGAGTAGAGTTAGACCCAGATTAGATTACCATTTACAAATAGTTAAGGATGTGGGAAGCTCAGGATAGGAAAGAGTGGAAGTGCGGTTCCAACCAGTTTTAGGATTGACGACTTTATGACGATGACAAGTATTTGAAACAGGCTAAGACCAAGATCAAGTCTAAGGCCAAGACTGAGACTAAGGCCGAGACCAAGAACAATACCAAGACCGAAACCGTGTCCCAGTCTTAGTCTTGGTCTTGCTTTGTTCATCACTATGCAGGTCTATCGATTTTTTCCAATTATACAATTATTTCGTATATAAAACGTTTCCTTGTTTCAACTTAAAAGAGATGCATTTCAAGAAGAATTGTAGAACGACGATCGTTTAACTTTATAACAAAAATAGTTGGATATATTTTAGTCGGTAGTTGTTTCCTTTATAGTTGCATACATATTCACGCCTTACGGTTTAAGATAATTGTTTGTTTAACAAATTGTACATTCCTGTACCTCTCCCGTGCATTTAATAGGAATTTCCATTGTGCGGGTCCATGGTGCAAGTTGACTTACGCGATAGTTTACATGTAAGCATGCAGTTCAACTACGGCACAATTAAATTCACACGAGTAATTGCACAGGTACTGAATACGTTATTTTATGTGGAGAGAATTTACGTATATCTCACACTCACTCTCTCCCTTCATCCGGTTGCTGTTTAACCGGAAGTTTGTCGGGGCGAAACTTTGCTAAAATAATTACAAAATTCCTTGTAGAGGAGGACGTATCTTTCCTTGTATGTGGATAATGCAGTTAACCCAAGAGTTAAATGGATTATACGTTAACATGCTACAAAATTCAAGTTTGACACTAATACGATGTAATACAACATGATTAAAATTAAAAAGTGCTAATTGCACTTTATGTCTTCTCGTATTTTCTTTATTAACGCTTAACCTCGCTGAAATCTGTTGACTCTTTGGGATTAGCGAAAACAATAATATAATAAAGAGAATTAAATGTCATTTTATATTTACACTTTCTAATTTTAAAGAGGATGAATGACTAAAACCATTGACTATGGAATAATATCGGAAAAGAGTATAATGTGTCATAGGCAAGGGAAATAAAGCCTCTCTCAGAAGACAGAGGACGATTGGTACCCTATACACTTGTACCCCGATTTTATTGACTGCACCTCTCCGTTGAATTCAAATGCAGTTTGAGTTTTGTTCTATTAAGGAAATTTGGAAATTTTTAGTTTTAAAATGAGAACATTAAAATGAAATAATCAAAATGAAATGACGGAAGCTGAACATGTTCGTTATTCGTTAATTCATATTCACAGGGAAAAGAGGAAATATGAATCTACCAATCAAGGACATATTCCACCGCTGTTATCTCATTTTGAAGATTTCGTTTCATTTTGTTGATAGTTTTAAGTTTATGATGCCCCAGCAGTTTGTTGTCAAAGCAAATTCATAACGAAGTATTTTATTTTAGTAACAAAAATTTGCAGTTATACTTTGATACAGAATTGTACCATCCAATTCCTTGACAATGTCGACATTTTTGGAGTGAATGCTTCAGTATCAGAAATAATGCAATAGCTCCAAATAATAAGCAAAATTTTGTGAAATAGCATTGGAATAATCATTGAAAGAACTCATTGATTTTGTGTCATTATAAAAATGACAATATAGCCACATATTTCGAAGCAAGTAACTGGCAGATATTATTATAACTTAACTAATACTCAACTAATATAAATTCGAATGTAAGTTTGTTTCAGTAGTTCGTACGCATTCACGGCCGGTGTCAGGTGATGAAGAGCTTCTGGGCTTTTCTTTCGTGGTCGAATTCTAATTGCGGAAGTTTTGCCATGTTGAATAGATGACAATAGATGGATTAAGGGTAAGCAGAGTCTGGAAACCACTGCTAACCTACCGGAGCGAAACATGACGATAATGCAGCATCAGCCGCCATCATACATCGTGAAGCACTGAAGGTGCCATCTATTAAGCATGGCGAAACTTCTGCAATAAGAATTCGACCACGGCGGAAAAGCCAAGAAACTCTTCATCATTAAGTGAGTTTGTTTGTTATCTTTTCATGCTTTAACTATTTAACCGATTATAATGGAATTTTATACACACATCCTCAGGGGTACAGAAAAGCACATAGAGTACCTTTTATCCAGAAAAAATATACTGTTCCCGATGGATAGAAAAAAATTTGTTTCATGTGGTCGATTTCACACCTTAATTACTCAATCATCATGAAATTTTGTAGACCCATTGTCAGGGGCACAAAAAAAAGCATAGGCTACTTCTATCCAGAAGAAGAAATGCTGTTCCCGAGGGATAGAAAAACTAGTTTTATAAGCCGTAGGCAGAATCTACCAATCTGCATAGCTGTAGTATATACTACTATATATAAATTGTTTAATGAAAATGTTTTCATTGTTTACGTTAGTACTAAATATTTTAATGNAAGCAAGTAACTGGCAGATATTATTATAACTTAACTAATACTCAACTAATATAAATTCGAATGTAAGTTTGTTTCAGTAGTTCGTACGCATTCACGGCCGGTGTCAGGTGATGAAGAGCTTCTGGGCTTTTCTTTCGTGGTCGAATTCTAATTGCGAAAGTTTTGCCATGTTTAATAGATGGCAATAGATGGATTAAGGGTAAACAGAGTCTGGAAACCATTGGTAAGAAACAAACAAACGAGAGTGCAACTACCGGAACGAAACATGACGATAACGCAGTATCAGTCGCAGATCATACATCGTGAAGCACTGAAGATGCCATCTGTTAAGTATGGCGAAACGTCGCCAATTAGAATTTGACAATGGTAGAAAAGCCAAGAAACTCTTCACCATCAAGTGAGTTTGTTTGTTATCTTTTCATGCCTTAACTATTTAACCGATTATCATGCATGAAATTTTGTACACACATCGTCAGGGGTACAGAAAAGCACGTAGAGTACCTTTTATCCAGAAAAACAAATACTATTCCCGATGGATAGAAAAAAAATAGTTTGATGTGATTGACTTCACGCCTTAACTACTCAATCGATCATCATGAAATTTTGTAGACCAATTGTCAGGGGCACAAAAAAGGACATAGGCTATTTTTTACCCAGAAGAAGAAATGCTGTTCCCAAAGGATAGAAAAAATAGTTTTATAATCGTCGATGATCTTTGATGCGTCTCTAGGACTTCAACGCCATTGAATCCATGGGCAAAATCTACTAATCTGCATAACTGCAGTATATAGTCACAGTATATAGGTTCGATAAATCGTTTAATGGAAACATTTTCATTGTTTACGTTGGTACCAAACATTTTAATGAAATGAAATTATCAATCAGTTACAGAAATTACTGCAGCATTAAAGTAAAAATAGGAACTGATAAAATAAGTGCAAAACAAAATCACTTACCGACAGTGGTCAGTACGGTCAGAGAATACAAGAAGGCTCTGGCAAACGTCCAGTCGATTTCTTTAACAAGTTCTCTTTCTGATTCTTTTTCTTGTACGGGTTGCGAATAGAACATTTCTTCTTCTAATGATTTCAGGAGCTCGTTCTGAAACCTGGTGATCTCCTGGGCTGCTAATTTGGTCCAATTATCTCGGTAGAGAATGTTCAGGCTTACAGTGATATCCCATATGCTCTCCACTGTTTTTGCACGAGCGTACTCAGTCTTCGTTTTCAATATTGCGCTGTTATTCAACCTAATTAAAGAGAAATAAAATATATTATATTTTAGAAATATCAATTAAATTGTTTTTCTTAATAGTGACCGATTTCTTGAGAAAATTGACAAATCACCAAGAATATTGTAAGACTAGAGTAAAGCAACTTTTACAGAAAATCATGCAGAAATTTTAGCACCAAGTCAAGAAAAACTAACGAACATTGGCCGTAAAATGTCTTTTGTTTTTTGAGGCACTTCAAAACAGATACGGTTTACAACTAGATTCTTTTTATCCAATAAATATTATCAACCATCAGTATTTGGTCATACTGATGCTGCAGTATATGCTTGACTCGAACAGATAACCAATATAAATCTCTTAGATTTGGACGTGATCAAATGCCGTATTATGTTTTAGACCCTTATCTGAATAGAATTCAAGGTGGTCTACAGATTTCAACACTCTACAGCTTCTTTCTGGGAGATTAGGTACTTAAAATACTTTTTATATGACATAAACTATGGAAATTTCTTTTTTCTTTCGAAACCACCTACATAAATCCACTTGCGACTGAAAATGAGCTTCAAGAAAGACGTACACGTTGCAAATGATAAGGATGCAGCAACTACTCCTTTAAAAATTGCCACACTAAGAGGAGCTAACGTTCTCTACTTTTTCGCGTGTACTATTTTTCTTCTTTAAAATCGAGGATTTCGCCCTTTTATATTTTTTATATGACAAATTAACTAAAGTGGAACAAATTCAAGTTGAGAGAAAACGTTAATAATTTTCCCTCTTTTCATTAACTAATATATAAGGAAAGACGAAGATGCTTTCTTAGACTACACGGTCAAAAAATAATAAGGGTGATGACGCACAAAGCGGTTTCTGTCTACTTGTTTCCAATTCGGTAATTATACAATGCGCAATCGCACTCCGAGTGCTGTTTTATTGCTTCAAGTGGTTTCATATTTTAATGGATTAAATGCTGCAGTATCATTGATTTTATTTTAGCCACTTTTTAACTCCATCTTCCCCATGCAGTCTATGGTTTTATGATCTAACCTCCTCCTAAAATAACGTGATGACCTTTTTAATATTTTTGACCCTTTAGAAATGAAATGCTGTTTCTGTTTCTCAATTTTCTTGGTACTGTGCACTGTCTACGACGTGGCTAAAGATTGCTTCGATTTAAAATTGTTAGACGCGCCTAAACTACAAAAATTTTCATATGGTGTATGGACACATGGACAGCTTCAAAACTGTTAAATTAAATGTGGGCGTCAGAATATTTATAGGAGATGAAAAATTCTACAAAAAGACTTTCGACAATATTTAACTAACGGTTATATAAATACTTGCCCAACCATCAAATACTAAAAACGTAAAGAGCAATCATAGTAATAGTGCGTATTTTTCTTTAATACTTATTGTGACTTCGACAGAGTTGGACACACCGGTATTTTCTAAAAGATCGTCAATGGATCGACACAAAACCGCTATGTCTACTTCTTCAATTCGGCAGAAGTAAATCAGTATCACCATATTTCTTTTTGTCCCTTTACGCAATGGCAAGTTCTTATCTAATATTTCGGGAATAAAACAGTTGAAAATATTAAGTACGTACAATTGCGAGGGTAGACCACCCATTTTTACTCAGTAAATACAGTGTTTTTTCCAAAAACTATGGCAAACGTTGGAGATGGAATTTTTCAACACTATCCCTTTGAAAATAATTTTGCTTTACCACAATTTCAACTATAAAAACGTTGTGTAGTGCTTAGGTATGCATTTACTGCTTTTTTCAGTATTTGAGATAGAGAACGAAAATTCATTACAAAGGAAGTTGGTATTTTACATTTTTAAAGTACAAGCAAGTAACTGAGCAAAGATTGTAGTCCCATGGAGCTCATAAAAGGGACTTCAGTGAAACTTTGTAAATGAAGATTCATTTCTCTTTAAAAACAGTCTATGCAAAAAAAGAGAAATTACAAAATGGATTAATTTGGCATTTTTAGTAACACGAATTTATATGTGCTGTAATGATAAATCGTTATTATACTTTTTACATTTTTTATAAAAAGACGCAGGCAGCAATCCTTCTTAAATGTTCTAGATAACTTTGTTAACAAATAAAGAACATACCTAAGTTCATGTTTCTGTCACACACATTCGAAAATTGTTCATACGTAAGCTTGTTCACTTACATATCATCGTCATAAGGTCATCAGTCCTAAGACTGGTTGGACACGTACCTTCACTCTTTCCTATCCTGAGCTACACTTCGCATTTCCCTAAAACTAAAACAACCCACATCCTTAACTATTTGCGAGCAGTAATTTAATCTTGGTCTACCTCTACTTCTCTTACCTCCTGTTTCTACCTCTAATATGTCTCTAACTAGACCTGAGAAGGTGTTCTACGAACCTATCTTGCCTATTTTTATTGACTTCGATAGAGTCCCCTATTGTCCTATTGTCCTATTCTTTCTGATACCTTCTCTATCCCCGGTATCCTCATCATTCGCCTATAACACCACATTTCGAAGGCTTCTAACCTATTCTTTTCCGTCGCGCCCACCGTCCATGTTTCGCACCCATACAGCGCCGCATTCCAAACATACACCTTTAACAATCTATTTCGAATTTCTAAAGTAGCCTTTCGCGAGCATAGATGTGGCATCTTTTTATTGAAGGCTACTCGACCCTGCGCTATCCTCTGCTTTATATCCCTACTACTCCTTACATATGCCTCTATAAAATCCTCATAGATCACGTTAATTGAAAAAGATTCGATAATCAAAACCGCTGTCCCAAATATCTTCATTTTGCAGCGATTTAATTTAGCGCAAATAAAATAAAGTTCCATTGAAGTCTTAAAGGAGTTAAAGTTTAAATACCAAATATTATTTTTAACACTTGCCCGTTTTTTTTTTTTAATATTTGACTTACCTGCTTTTGTATTGCTCCGTTGCTAGTGACGTGGTAGCTAAAATTTGCTTTTGGATATTGTTACCGCCCTCTATCGCTAAGAATATCACGGAACCGATAAGGGTGTAACCGAATAAAAGTACGCAAATGCCTAAGTTAGTAACGAGTCCCGTCAATACTTGTTTCCGTTTCGATTTTTTCGAACCGAAGCATTTACACACTTTCTCGTCACATTTTGCGTTCTTTTGGTCTCTTTTGCCACCAACACCGGAATTTGATTGTTTCGACACAACCGAGTAAGTCTCGTAAGAATAATGCGATGCCTCCTTCTCCATTATTCAAAGAAAAATCACAAAACTAACTTGTAGATGACGTTGCCATTCTTATATTCATGTAAAATATTTTAAAGGTGTTCCTTTGCCAATGAAGACAATTTGACAGCACTTGGAGTAGACATTTCGTTGTTCCTGAAACAAAAAAGTATACTTCAGAAATCTGCTAGTTATTTTTAGTTACAAAAATTTTAAAGTTAAAGAATCTATGCCTAAACCACTGAAAATGCACAGCAGATGTAGAAATTGCGACTTGATATAACAGGGGGCATATTAGTTAATCACAACAATGGGTTTGTGTAATCAGATCCTTTTGAGTTTGGCTTTGGATTACATAATTACCATTATACAGGATGTAACAGAAATAAGTGCCGAATTTTGGAGGGTGTAAACAAGATGCAATAAACAATCGCAGCGTGTTTAGGGGCAAAAGAACGCGAAGCCGGTCCTGTGTGTGAATTGGTAACGTATGTTTATAATAGAAACAGAATAGCATAGTAGTAGGTACGATAAAAACTGTGCAGCCACATAGACGGAGATGTAAACATTGCCGATTTTATCGAACGTCTGCAATAAACAAATAAACATAAACAATTTAGTACTACACATAATGTTGAGACTATATAAATTAAATAAGTACATTATAGGCAACACTATGCAAATGTATCTAAGAAAACAAAAAGAAAAAGTTTGTAATGTTTTTGTTTTGTAATAATTGTAATTTAATTAAGGCAAATTTCCACACAATTGAGGTATTGCCAAGGTGCGTTACCTTTTTTCCGGGTGATTGTAAGTAAAGTTACCAAAAAGTCAAATAAGTCTTCAAAAATTTTACCATTTTGCTACTTGAAGCAAAGTCTGTAAACGACATCCTACACAGTACTTTTCTTTCAAAACCACCAACACAAGTCCACTGGTGGCTGAGAATGAAATTAAAGAACGACTTGTACACGCTGCAAATGATAAGGATGCAGCAACTGTTTCTCTAAAAATTGTCTCACTGAGAGGAGCCAATGATTTGTTTTTTCGCGTGTACTATTTTGGGAGATTTTCTTCCTTGAAATCGGGGATTTCGCCCTTATAGCAGCGATATGATTCAAACTCGTAAATACGTATCATGTCACATTATTGTAACAACCGTTTTACAGTGACTTATTGATTTTGTATTGCTAAATTAGTTAATAAACTGCACAAAGTTTACACGGCTATTAGAAGTTGATTGTTAACTTAAACAGTCTGATTCACACTTAATCTAATGCTACCAATAAACAGTACATGGGCAAAAAAATATATAACCAACAGTATATTGATGACAGTAATCACCATCTAACCGACATAAAGAAGTCACTTTTATGCTCGCGAACGGTTAATTCAGAAATTCAAAAAAGGTTATTAAGTGTGTATGTTTGGAGTGCGGCACTGTGCGGGTGCGAAACATGGACGGTGGGCATGGCGGAAAAAAAAAGACTGGAAGCGTTCGAAATGTGGTGTTACAGGCGAAAGATGAGGATTCCGTGGATCGAAAAGGTTAGAAATGAGGAGGTATTAGAAAGAATAGAACAACAGATGTCACTATGGAAGTCAATGAGTAATAGGCGAAATAGGTTGGTAGGACACCTTCTCAGTGAATGAAGGGCTAATTAGAGACATTACAGAAATAGAGGAAAAAAAACTTTCGAGTGTTTCATTCCCACCAGCCAGTAATGCTGATGGGCGGGCAGTCCCTCCGGACTACGCCGGAAGGTAGGGCGGAAGGCCCTCTTCAGTCTGCTTTCAAGAACCGTGGGAATGGGTGGGCGGTGGTTCGGGTGAGAAAGATGAGACGGACGGAATGAAGACAGAAGAAACTGAAAGATTATCTGTGGAATATTACTGCCTCAGCATTTGCCTAGATGATCCAAGGAAACCTTAGAAAAACTTGGACCGAGGCAGACGGACCCGGAATCGAACCGGCGTACTCCCGAATGCTAAGCAATGGTCTAAACCTCTAGGCCATGCCGCTCGGTGAAACAGAGGAAGAAAGGTAGACCTAAATTAGATAACTGTTCACATATAGTTAGGGATGTTCTAGTTTTAAGGAAATGCGAAGATTAGCTCAGGATAGAGAAAAGTGGAGGTGCGTGTCCAATTAGTTTTAGGACTGATGACCTTATGATGATGATGAATGCAGTTTAATGCTAATATTACGGGTATTGCACAATTGAAAGGATCTAGATATTTTAGAAACACAAATCGCTATCTCTCTGATTGGGGAACCATAAAATGGGAAGGGAGATTTTACATTGGAAATAGTGAATCCTTCTGGTCCTAATTACTGTCCACTGATGTAGAATATTCTGTTATTTGTTTTTTCGTATTTTGATAATATCCAATATATCTTAAATCCTAAATAGAATTTGTTAATTTTAGGCCAACACATTATTGGAACACTTTCACAAAATTTTTAAAAAGTAGTAGTTTATACGTTTTTTCCAAAAAAGACAATAAATACATACATTTAACTTGTCAAGATCTCCTAGTTTGAAAAGAAGCGCATAAGGAAGTAAAGCTTGAAAAAAAAAATGAAATGTCGGCAAAGTGGTTGTCGGGGGAATGCTTATCGGCGAACTTCTTTGATGGCGAAATGGGCAAAAGCGAGCTGGTGTTTTAATAATAGTACCTAGATAATTTTTGTCTTTTACGATAACATAAACTAGCAAGTTTTAATACCGTTATAAATTGTAGCGAGCGGGGCCTTGCAATATGCACACACTTTTCACATCATTTAGCTCGTGAAGCACCGTAAAATACAAATTATTATTATGTGTTTGCAGTTCCATATGCAAATATAGACAATAACATATTTATAAAATTATAATATTTTATTTTCGGTTGCTCGAACTGAAAACACATCAAAGTAATTATTGTTGGCCATTGTCAATGGCTCTTCAATAAATTCAGTGTTTAAACAAATCGATGTTCACGTCGTTAAATAAACAAAGAGTATATTCAATTGATTAATTAAATGTTAACGTAATATAGATAGGTATCGGTTTATGTTTCATTTAAACGCAACTTTCAATTGGTAGATGTCTGAGCACAGTAATTGTACTAAAAACTCATCATTATTATCATCAAGTACCTAGAAAAACTAATCATTGTTACCGTCAGTCTTAAGACTGGTTGGACAAGCACTTCTAGTCTTTCCTGTCCTAAGTTAATCTTCGCTTTCTGCTCCTCTCATCTGCTGTTTCTGCTTCTAGTATGTCTCTAACTAGCCATTTATGCTTAGGAAGGTATTCTATAAATCTACCTTGCCTTATTCTTATTGACTTTCATATAACCCTCAGTTCTTCTACTCTTCTTAATTGAGAACTGATCAGTCATCATCATAAGGTCGTCAATCCGTCAAGACTGGTTGGACACGCCCCTCCACTCTTTCATATCCAGAGCTAATTTTCGCATTTACCTAAAACTAGAACAACCCACATCGTTAACTATTTGCGAACAGTAATCTAATCTAGGTCTACGTCTACCCCTCCTAACTCCCGTTTCTGCCTCTAATATGTCTCTGACTAGACCTTCATGTCTGAGAAGGTGTCTTACTAACCTATCTCGCCTATTTCTTATTGACTTGCACAGAGTCCCCGTTCTTCTATTACTTCTAATATCTCTTCATTTCCAACCTTCTCTATCCACGGTATCCTCATCATTCGCCTGTAACACCACATTTCGAACGATTATAACGTCACATGGTTTGCAACGTAAATACTGTTTTTCCTCTTTCTATCCAAGCGGCATGGCCTAGAGGTTTAGACCGTTGTTTAGTATTCGGGAGGACGCCGGTTCGATTCCAGGTCCGTCTGCCTTGGTTTTTTCTGTGGTTTCCTTGGATCACTTAGGCAAATGCTGGGGCAGTAATATTCCACAGATAATCTTTCATTCTCTTCTGTCTTCATTTCGTCCGTCTCAACTTTCTCATCACCCACCCATTCCCACGATTCCTGAAGGCAGGCTGAAGAGGGCCTTTCGCCCTACCTTCCGACGTAGTCCGGAGGGACTGCCCGCCAACCAGCACTAGTGGCTGGTGGGAATTAAACACCCAAAAGTTTTTATATGAAATAGCGCCATGGAATATTTGGAAATGACCAAAATGCTGAAAACCAAAAAATTTCTGAATCTGAAGTAGTTAAACGATAACAAAAAGCGCCATTTTCCTTTTACGGACCCCTGATGTATGCTCATTTCGCAATTGCTTTTTTGTTAAGACGAGTTTGATATAACAACGTTGACTTCTTATTTTGTATTTGCGTTAATTTTAAGTATGGTCTCTTTCAAAGGAATGCTACCTCAACAAGCATCGTAAAATTTTATTACAGGAGCGTTTTGAGCATGTTGTCCAATGGTATAATTAAACTTTTGTGAACATTTCTTTTTACGATACTTGCGATAGACAATTTATTCAAATTGTTATAAGTCAATGCTCTATTTGAAACTTTTTTCAGATATCTTCCATTGACGATGAAAGGGGATGGAGATATCGACAGTTTCTTTGAAAACAACTGACTGAAGAGTCAAAATCAAAAGTTCCTGAAAACATTCTCACCCTCTCAAATGAAAGGAGAAATGGGAGAAATAGATAAGGATTCTAAGTTGGTTGCGGGAGTCTAAAAACAAAAAGCGGTTACAGCTTGCAATTCCCAAAATAAAATTATTGCTTCTATATTACTTGATTTGGTTTTCAATACACGAAGGAACGACGAATTCGGTTGTGACAAAATTCAATTTAACAATACGACGAGCAGGCAGTGTGCTGTAAAAAATGTATAAGCGAATATTGTGAGAGAGATCGGAAACAATCTAATAAATGAAGACTGGCGTAGGGACGTGTACCAGGAATCATTGAGTAGGAAACCGCAAGAAAATACAGTGTTAGAGAACAACAGTTACCGACTATAGCTGACAGTTTAAGTTCCAAAGATAGTCTAGTACCAGAGGCTAAAATGGAAACTAGCATCGCTGACAACTGGAGAACGTAAAATAGATAATTGGATTTCGTTGAGTACCTACCAGAAATATTATTGATTATTAAAATAATTCGAAGTGGTCTGTATTCTGTCGAAACTGCCAGACGCGGATCGCGATTTCGATCTTTT